AGCAGCAGCAACAGCAGCAGTAGCAACAGCAGCAGCAGCAACAGCAACAGCAGCAACAGCAACAGCAGCAGCAACGGTAAATAACAGCAAATAAACAATAAAAAAGCTAATAAATCTAATTAATTAATTAATTATATTTATTTATTTATTTATATTTATTTATTTATTTATTTATTTATTTATTTATTTATATTTATTTACTTATTTATGTATATAATTTACCGTAAAGAATCAGCAACAGCAGCAAGCAGCACAGGAGGGATGATTGCTTCTCCTACGCCTAGCAGCAGAGCTGCAGTGACACCCCAAGCCTTGCTGCTTGCTGCAGTACTTTTCCTGCTGCTGCTGCTGCTGCTGCTGCTGTTGCTGCTGCTGTTGCTGATGCTGCTGCGAGACCTGCGTATTCCCAGAGGCATGGCACTGGCAGCAGCAGCAACAACAGCAGCAGCAGGATCTGCTGCTGCTGCTGCTGCTGCTGCTGCTGCTGCTGCTTGGTGATGGCCTCTCCATGCAGCTGTTGCTGGCTGCTGCAATGCATGCAAGAGGAAATATTGCTGCAGCAGCGACCCCGTTTGCTGCTGCTGCTGCAGCGGCTGCTGGTGCAGAGACAACGCATGCAGTTGTGGCAGAAGCAATACCTGCTGCTGCTGCTGCTGCTGCTGCTGCTGCACTGCGTCCTGCTGCAGGGATATTGTACCTAATAGGGCTAATGTTACTAACATAGTTGCCCCTAACAGCAGCGGCAAACTTCCCCCTACACGATCAACAGCAACAGCTACTAGAGGCAGCAGCAGCACCGTCGTAACTGCAGCAGCAGCAGCAGCAACAACAACAGCAGAAGCACAGACAGGAGTAATTGCAGCACCAGCAGCAGCAGCAGCAGCAGAAGCAGCTTACGGTTAACAACAGCACCTAAGAAGAGTGCTGTATTAATATAACCCCCAACACCCCACCCCCACCCCCATAACCCCCATCAGCAGCAGCAGCAGCAGCAGCAGGAGCAGGAGCAGCAGGAGCAGCAGCAGGAGCAGCAGCAGCAAGCTTACGAGTAACAACAGGACCTAAGAAGAGTGCTGTATTAATATAACCACAAAGACCCCACACCCATCCCCATAACCCCCAACAGCAGCAGGAGCA